GAGGAGTATATTTGAAACCTGAAGAAGCCAAGCCACTGTCCCCAAAGTTAACTAACAGCTGGCACAAAGTAACAAAAGGACTAAACAAAGGCTTTAAAAAGTCCTAGTCCAGAGCTCATTTTGAATATTCAACACACCTAAAATCCAGAGGTCTCACTACTTGGTCCTCCTGCTTAACCTTTCATCCTCATGACTTGGCCTAAATTCTTTTAGGGTCACGAAGGATCTCTCAGCCAAATTCAAAAGCCACTTCTCATATATGATTCTGAACTTCTGCTACATTTGGCTCTAATCCCATTTTTAAGCTCATTCTCTTCCACCCTGATTTCTACAGTGCTTTCCTTCTTCACTTATTCCTCCTCGCTCTCCTTTTCTGGCCATCGATTGTCTTAAACATCCTGTTACATTTCTGTGTAAATAAACCCACTCCACTTTGCAGTTCATCATGGAAATGTTTGTCCCAATTATGCAGTTCAGGCTCTAATTTATATCTCTATTCCTGTAACGCTGCCATTTCCTGTTTGATAAATCTAGCCCGTTCTATGCTTTCATTGCTTCTGGCCTTCGTTAATTCCAACTGCTGCCTGATCCCATCCAGCAGTGACTTCTGAGCAGTTTTGTTCCAAAACACTCCTGATGGTATAGTAGATGATTTTAAGTGGTCCACAGAGGAATATTTAAAATGTTTATTTTAAAACAGGTTGAGGAAAAACTGTAAAACCAAATAATCATGTACATTTTTCTTTTAAATTCACTTAATTAAAAGATAGTTAAAAAAATATGAACAGATGTTTTGAAGATAAAGCAAAACTCATGAATGACTTCTTTGGGAAATACTGGCCCCTGGGAAATCCACATAGTATAGAAGTTAAGCACTCAGGCTCTGGGTCAATGATTTGAATCCCACTTACTAGCTAAGTAATTTTGAACAAATTACTTAAATCTCTTTAAATCCCAGTTTTCTAGTTGTATAGTAGGGATAAAATTATCCACCTCCTAGGATTACTGCATGGATTGAAAGAAGTAATCTACAAAATGTTCTTAGCTCAGTGCCTTGCATAGTAAGTGCTCAATGAATAGTAATAATTGCAATTATTCTTGATCTCTCCTGGCCATCACGCCTTCACTTGTCATCAACTGGGTACTGAATCTGTGCTACAGGCAATTTTCCATATGTGGGTTTTCTGCCCCAAATTTCCTTTACTGTTTGCATATCTTTATTTTTATCTTCTGGTATGAATATATATATATATATATATCTCACAGTAACGTTTATTATTATTCCTTAAGACTGTGAACATCTTGGCAGTCAGACCCAAAAGCCATACTCCTCTGATTCATTTGGCCTTACAAAATTAAAAGAATTTTTAATGTTTGTCGAAGGAATCTAAAAATTAAAGGAAAATCTGATGCAAATAAATCTCAGAATGCATAATACACAAACACAAACTATTTGAAAGCTGACACCTCAAATAGGTGAATAAAGGGGGACAATGAGAGGGTATTCTTTTGCTCCCCTAACATATTCGTGAGTTGAACCTTAGCTGTAGGTCTATTCTGTGTTTCCTAATCTCATCCATTCGACAATCTGTAATAAACTCTAGGTACATGCCAACCATACAAGGTGATGGGGACACAGAAAAAGAGACTAATGTCGGAATACAAACAAGTAGAAAGTTAGTAGATAATATGCTATGTAAACAATACCCAATAGTGTTTGTTTTTAATCCTAGAGAGGCTCCACAAATGCTGACTATATTGCCCCCACAACCAGCCCCCTTAATTCAGAGCACCCAGCAGCACCGCATAGGGGTGAGCACATCACATTACATGACAGTAACTTTATTGCTGTATGGTTAGCATGTGCCTAGTGTTCAGACTCTAGGTATGTGCTAACCACATCAAAATTTTTGTCTGCCAACAAGACAAGTGTTGAAACTCAGTAATAGCCCTTGTTTGATCTGATTTGCCAGCAAATACGTGCACACACAGGCCCAAAAACATGATTGGCATTCTGTTAATCTAGAGCAAAATACCAACTAGAAATACAGCTAGCAAACAGATCAGTATATATTTAACCTTTCTGGAGGTTGGTAAAAAACAGCCAATAGAAAATTTACTAAAATTACCCTCTCTAGAGAATACTTTACCCACAAAGATGTCCTGATTGATGATGCATCAATAGCATTATTGAGAAATTTAAAATGCTGTTGTGACTCAGAAAACTAATTCTCAAAACTTCTAAGCAGCAGCAAACATAGACTGAGATAAGCTTTCATTGTGTTACCCTATTTATAAGATGACAAGTCTCGATTTACTGGAAGTACATTAGTCATAACTCAGTCAGACACAACTTTTGGATAACTGGAGAATAGGGTTCTGTACCAATCTGTGCAACATTTTATCAATGATCAATCCTAGTCTTACACAAATATAGTATAAACAGCATCTGAAAAACAAGTTACTCAGCTGTCTTACAAACTGAAACAGTTTTTGGGAGGTGAAAGGAAACCACTGGGAGGGAGAGGGAGACGTAACAGAGTGATCTTCAAAGACATTTTACCAGTAAGGATGGTGGGATGGAGTTGGAATAGGAGGGAGGCAGGGGCTGGATTGAGCCAGAACTTTTGTATTTCATCTGAGTGTAATATACTGGTCCCAGGGTTACTCGGTGTGTACAGCATGGAGAAGAAATCTTTAGGAAACAAAATCCAGTACAAAAGTGTGGAAAAAAAAATAAGTATTTTTGAAAAAGGAAAAATAAAAACTATTTCTTAAATTTCGAAAGAATATATACTCCATGTTGAGAATATACATATTACTTACTGCTTGGAAGAGAGGATTTTCTTCTACCCATATTCTGCCCTTTTCCCTCTACTAATAGTTGACATGTATTATGTACTGAGCACAGTAACAAACCCTCTACATGTTATCTTTGTTACTCCTACAGCAAGCCTTCCAGGGAAGTACTATTAGTATTACCACCATCTCCATTTTACAGATGAGGAAATATTGTATGAATAATTTAGGCCAGACCTCAAAATTTAAAAATTGTATCTGGCATACTGTAGAGTTAATTTTACTCCACCAGCCTTTAAATAGAAAACGGTACAAAAATTAGCGTCTACCCCAGCCCCAAAGCAGCTACAAACCATCTTTTTACATCTGGCAACACTTTAACCTTCACATGCAACAATGTTTCTATGCTGAAATTAAGTGGGAGAAATTAGGTTAATAATGTTGTATCTTATTTAGTTTCCACAGTTTATAAAATTACAAAGAAAAGGGAGGCAGTTGGATGGCTTAGAGCATCCCTTTTGGGTTTAGACAGCCTAGGTTTGAATCTATACAGCACCACCAATAACTGCCGTGTGACCTTGGTCAAACTGCTTCAATCTCTCAGATTTCATTTCCTCATCTGTAAAATGGGGGTGATAATAATAGCACCTTCCTCAAAGACTTGCTGTTAAGATTTAAAAAGGTAATGTGTGTAAAGGGCTTATTACTGTGCTCCGTGCATAGAAAAAAGGTCAACAAACGATGGAGGGAGAACAGCCACATATGTAAGCTCATCAGACCAAAATATAAAAATAAAACTAAAAAGTCCATGTTCTGACGATCCCATTATAAAAAAAGAGAATTATTATTTGACTATATGCTAAAGACAAAACTCAAATTCAATCTATTCCTAATTTTTTCTTTTTTAGGTGATCAGTGCATTTGAGGTGGGCCAGAAAAGATGCTGCAGTGCATCTGTGACACACACCTAAAAATGGCTCCAGTCAAAAGCAGCATCTTAATTACCAACAGAGGAGGTTAAATCTACTTTTTTAACAAATGCAAGGAGGTAGGTTTTGGTGGGCGCTTAAGTATCACCCTATCGTTTTCATTTGCAGGAGTGAGCTATCGAGCACTTAATCTAAGAACCCCGTTTCTTCTAGTGCATTCCAAATGAAATCTTAGAGCACGGCCGCCTACTGTCCAATTCCAAGTACCCTAGCGAGGTATATGAATCTATAATATGAACCTAAGCTGAAGATCGGCCAATGCGGAAATCCGGGTAGCTTTAGGAGCCAGCAAACAGCAGGCATGTCGGAAAACCTCAAAACAAAAAACAAACAAAAAAAAAACTCCAATCAAGTTAAAACAAATGTACACCTCTTTAAGGGAAATTAGACGCATTCCTCTCGGGCAAAGGGAAAATTTATCCGTGTTCCCTATTGGGGCCCTCCCCCAACCATGCCCTTTTCTTTTAGTCCTAAGCGGGGTGGGGGAGCCTCGGCGGTCACACCGGTAACGCTACTGCTATCTCGCAGCGAGCTGCAGGCTGGGACGGACCACGCAGGCCAAGGGATGCAGAGGCCTAGGGTGCGAGCGACAACCCGAACCCTCCGCTGGAGTTGGGGCAGCACGTCCCTAGCGGAAGTAGGACTGCTCCCGATTCCCCCAAAGAGCCTCTCACCGAGTCAGGTCTTTAACCCGGGCCCCCACCGCCCCCACCACACACACACACACGGCTCCTTGCAAATTCCAGCCTCTCTACACACGGGGGAGAGCAAGGCAAGTACAGGCCCTCGATGAGCCCTGGAGTTGTTTGGGGGACGCATCGCCCACGCTAGGGGGGGGGGAAAGCGAGAGACCGCGCGCCCGCCTATCCGGTGGGATGGAAACTCCCTTTGGCTTCCCCCGCAAAACGCGCAAACCCCCGCGGGGCCCGAGCCGGGGTCTGGGTGGGAGAGACCGCCGGGTCCGGAACTCCCGCTGCAGACCACATGGGGCGGGTCTGAGCGCGGCTTCCCGCTCCCCGAGCAGGAGGCCGAGGCTTCCCCGGACACAGAGATGGTGGTCATCGAAGAGAAGGAAGGGGATGCCCGGGCCCCAGGCCCTCTCCCCGCGGCTCCTCCGTCCCCGGGAGCGAGGGTCGGGGGCGCTCCCACGCCCGCCCGCCACGATGGGGCCCGCTGTGCTCGCGGCTCCTCCGCCCTCGCTTCTTTCCTTACCGGCCAGGGTGTCAGGCTGAGTGTGTGTGCGCGCACTTCGAGGGTCTCCGCCGAACCCTGATCCGAGGAAAGGGGGAGAGGAGGCCAAGGGTGGGGGCGGCTGAAGGGCCACCGGACTGGGAGAAGCCGCAGCTGCGGACGGACAAACCGCCAAAGCACTTTCGCTGCTTCCCGAGACGGTGAGAGCGAGCGAGAAAAAGAAGCAAGATGGCGGCTAGCCAGCCCCTACGTATTACGTCATGCCGCGGCGTACGTAGGGCAAGTCTCCGCAAAGACCGCCCTCCGGCGCAGAGACGGCCGGGTCACGTGACGCCTTCGTGGCGGTGCAGCCCCGGCGGAAAGCGACGTTGCCACCTGCTGGACGGAGGGAGTTCCTGCAACCAGAGTTCTCGCTACGGGTAAAGATTTAGCCTGCAAATCTCTCCAGGACCTCTGGACTAGACCACGATTCCAGGTTGATACGCCTCACGGAAGCGAGGACTCTTGTATTGGGTGGATAGGTGTGTAAATTGGTTCACAACAGTTTGGCAGTGTGTGTCAGAATTAAACTATGCATAATCTTTAACCTTGATATTTGGCAATATCTTGATATTTTCCAGAAATGTACATATACAATATTCATAATACCCAAACCTGCCCGTTGATAAAGATATAGATAAATGCATTATGAAACATCTGTATTATGTAATATTTTGAAGCCATTAAGTTCAGAATAATATTTAACGACCATACACACACACACACACACACACACGCACGCATATTCATAGAAAAAAAACTCAAAAATGTGCTCTGAAATGTTCATTGTAAACATGTTAACAACAGTTATCTTACAGCAATCAGAATTTAAAAAAATATTTCATGTATGCCTTTCTATAATTCCCAGATTATATAATCAGAAAAGATTGTAATATGTAATGAAAAATTGTGAGTCATAAAAATGTTATGAGAAAGATGATAAATGTGTGCATACATATATAGTATATGCATATATATATATATATACATATGGTGTGTGTGTAATGTATATATATACCGCACTGTGTTTATTTAAGATTCAAAAGCTTTACAAATTTTGAGGGCTTTAGAATAAACAAGAACAGGTATGAATACAAGTTCTGCTAATTAATTGCTATGGAGTATGGGTAAGTTATTTGTAAGTTCCCTCAGATTCAGTTTTCTCACTTGTAAAATGGAGATAATAATACCTACTTCTCACATTTGTGTTATTCACACACAAAATATTTATTGAGCACCTACTATCTGTGCTAGATCCTGGGATACGAAGGTAAAGAACAGTTAAGACCTTGCTCCTTAATGAAACAGTGTAGTGATTCAGGTCAAATAACAGATGTGGATACATGACATGAAGGAAATAAACAGGATATCAAGATAAAAGAATAACCAGGAGGAAGGGCAGGAGGAATTTACTTTACATACGGTGGTCAGTGAGTTCCTTTCTGAGAAGGGGCCATTTAAAGCAGGACCTCAACAATAACAAGAAGCAGCTATGTGAAGAGCAGGTGAACAAGTGCTCTGAGCCAAGTGATCTGCAATGACAGATGCGCTGCTTTGGGAAAGGGTTTGGAGTGCTCTAGGGACTAGGAGAGGAGTATGTCTGGAACTTAGTCAAGAGATAGAGTGGCACAGGATGAGACTAGAAGGAGAGACAGGTACGGAGGGGCCGAGGAGGCTACGATAAGTTCAGAATGTCTTCTAGGTGCAGTAAAACACGATCAGAGAGTTTTAAGAAGGGGGTGGGGGGCGCTGATTTGATTTTACATTTTAAGGGTCTCACCACAACTACTGAGAGCAAGTGTGTAGAATGGGTTGGAGGGAGGTAAGAACGGAAGCCAGGAGCCCCACTAGGTAGTAATGAAGTAATTGCAGTAGCGAAGAATCACAGTAGCCTGGACTAGGATAGAGACAGTGGAGATGCAGAGAAGTACACAGGTTTGGTACATATAATAGTTTGGACCTAGAATATACTTGCTTGTGTCAGATGATCACTTCTAAATGGGGGGAGAGGGGGGGTGTGTGAAGAAAAGACTAGAATCAGTGACAACTTGTAGATTACAGCTTGAACCACCAGGTGGATGACAGTGACATTTATAAAGACTGTGGGGATGTGGGGGAGAAAAGGAAAATGGATTGGTTGGTAGGGCAATAAAAGTTAAACATTAAAAAAACTTGGAGGGCCGGCCGAGTGGCTCAGTTGGTTAAGAGCTCGCTCAAGAGTTTGAGCTCTGAGCAACAGTGGTTCGAGTCCAGCCCGAGCTGAGCAGCCGCTGAGCTGCCAACAGGTAGCAGGATGGCTCAGCTTAAAAAAAAAAAAAAAAAAACTTGGGAAAAATTAAATTTTGACCATGTGAAATTTGAGATGTTCGTGGGCTGTCCAAGTGTAGATTAAGTACACTGTTGACATGCATGTCTAGAGCTCAGAGGAGAGGCTGGGGTTGGAGATAGAGATTTGGGCTCTATAGACATGTGTTTCACATGTAAGTTTCATAGACGTGTGTTTAAAACAGCAGGTAGAAATAAGATCTCTCCGAGAGAGGGTTGAGAAAGAAGAAAAAAAACAACAGCCCCCAGGAGCAAGAATCTTTAGCCGTTTGGTGGAGGATCCAGCACAAAACAGTGAGGAGAATCCACAGATGGTGATGTCACAAAGGCCAGGAGAGGAGAGTATGACAAGAAGGGGTGAGCCATCAACTCTGTCAAGTGCTGCTGAGAGGTCAAGTCATAGGAAGAAAGAGCCAGCAGTGCCCATCGTACTTGGCCACCTGCAGGTCCCTGGTACCTTTTACCAGAAGTTTTGACGGAGCAGTGAGGGCAGAGTGCCCTATGGTAGTGAGCCGAAAAGGAGATAGATGTTGAGAGAGTGGAGGCGACAGGTAAGCGCTTCTTTCCAGAGATTGAACTCTGGAGTAGCTGGAGGGAATGTGGCGTGAAGAGAGACACTTGAAAGTACAGGAGACGGTAGGTCGTGTTCGTGTGATGATGGGAATGATACAGAAGAAGGAGGTGGGGAGCAACCCTGGAGTAGAGAGAAGGAGAACTAAAGGAGTCAAGCTCATGGGCAGTTCTGAAGGGCTGGGTCTGGGACACTGATGCAGGGTTCACCTTTGAAGGAGAAGTAGGCGCAACTCTAATGACGATGGATAATTTGATGGTGGGGACATAAGGGAAGTCCCATCCATGGCTTCTATTTTCTCACAGAAGTAGGGGCAAGGCAATGTGCTAAGAGGGCTTAGTTGGAGTTTGAGGCGAAAAAAGATCCAAAAGTTGTCTCAGCGTCAAAAAGTGAACCTACTGTAAGGAATCGTGCAGGCCCGACATGCTCTGCGGAGAGCACTCTGGAAGTTCGTGATCATGGATGTAAGCTGTGCCATTCAGTTGGTTTATATGATTTCTCCAGCAGCGTCCAGCCTCGTTACAGCTGCGGAGAAGACAGACCGTCAGGTGTCCGCCATGCTGGGTCTGACCAGGCAAGTGTGATGTAGAGAGGTGAGGGGTTAAACGAAGACAATACCGTGTGTGAAACAGGGTGGATGTATAGTAAATGGTAGCTTGTGTCCACGTTATGAATGCTCTATGGTATATTTTGAATCTGAGGATTCCTGCCTCGTCTCCTGGTCTCAGCTGTCTTCCCCACTGCTGTGTTCATGGAGTTGTCACCGTCACAATGTTAGAATAAGTAAAACAATGCAGAGAAGTCAAGTCCAGGCACTTGCTCCTGTGCTTTAGACCGTATCCAGGGTCTTTTGAAATGGAAAAGCTGCCATGGGGTCATTGCCCAGGGGAAGTCCTGCAGACGCCCTCAAGAGCACACAAAAGCATTACTTTGGTCAATTTTCCTCTAGGGTCTGGTAATGGTAATAAGCTCCAATGAGCTCACATTAACCAATGTCATGAGACTGACATCTATAACCAGAATATTCATTTATTAATTTCCAAGAACTGTAATGTATGTGCCTGAAGCCCACCAAGCCAGTGCGTTTTCTATGTAGACAAACCTACTCAGGAAACCGAAGGCAGCATCAGCCGGTTGCTGGATGAGCACAGATTCAGAACACGTGGAGTTCTGTGCATAGACTGTTCTTGATCCATCTTTCTCCAGGACAGGATGCTTTTGTCCCAAAGAGAGAAATGCCCGATTTCCAATGGCTTCAGCTTTCTACACGGATCTCCAGTACTGGAGGGACGTCCTGCTGTGTTGTTGATTTGGCTCCTTGTCTCCTTGACAGCAGTTGGGTGGGCACTGGCCTGAAAGTGCCCTTCTGTGAGCCTTTCTCTGTTTCCATGGCTACCCGGACCTCTTAGCAATATTCTTTCAATAAAAATCAAGTTACAGTCAAGTCAGGCCGGTTTTTATTTTAAAGGTGACTTTGTTTATTTGTCCTCTTATCCATTGTGTGTGATCTTAAAGTTAGGCTCTCAAAGAGCAGTCTTATTTGCCATATTTCAGGGGAAATCGGGCTGAAATCTTCAGGTATTGGTACAATGTCCAAGGCCAAATAATATTCTTTTAAAATTTACTTTGTTTTGGATTATTTACACCTCTCCTAATACTCCTTCAGTATAAATAAATTTGTCATAACAAAAATGTTTTCCTGACAGATTGAATGAAAACTTGTCCTCACTTTCCAGTTCTGCTTTTTAAACAACAATTTTAGAGTAAAATTATTAAATTGTCAATTGGTGGTATAAAATCAGGCAAACTAATTTCTTATTGAAAACAAATGGATTCTCCAAATAATATGGCCTATTTCCTTTGTGATTGCCCATCCTTATCAGTTAATGGTTTTATTGAATTTCCACCCTTCTCGTTTTGGGATTGATTCAATAAACCTGTAAGCACTGAAGATTTATGGGATATAGGTTTCCCCAATATCCGAAATTAAAGTGTTCCTGTGAAACCTTTCATAAGCCAAAATGGGTAAAGTGAAGAAGCAATTCCCATTCATTTATATGGAAACAATCTTGAGGGTTCCCAGATCCCGAGAAAAACCTACTAAATAATACCAAATATGCTTAATTACGTCCAGTTTTACACTAAGCTAACACCCTTACCAGCTTTCGTGGTCTTTTCTGATACCTTAGGACACATCTTGCTAACGGATGCACAAAATAAAGGGAGATAAAGCACAGCTGCTCATAGACACAGTTCAAACCCTGGCAGCCAGGTGCTGATCCCCAGGGAGGGAGCTGGGCGGGGCCTTCTCTCGCTGCTCAGGTGTGCGCTGCCTTTAGACCGCTTGCTGCCAAACAAATGCAGAACACCAT